TTTTTGTACAGTTCTTCTGTGTATTCTAGCCACCTCTTCTTAATATCTTCTGCTTCTGTTAGGTCCATACCATTTCTGTCGTTTATCAAACCCATCTTTGCATGAACTGTTCCCTTGGTATCTCTAATTTTCTTAAAGAGATCTCTAGTCTTTCCCATTCTATTGTTTTCCTGTATTTCTTTGAATTGTTCACTGAGGAAGGTTTTCTTATCTCTCCTTGCTATCCTTTGGAACTCTGCATTCAAATGGGTATATATTTTGTTTTCTCCTTTGCCTTCAGCTCAAGCCCCAGATCCACTGTTTAAAGTCTGCGTGGGGGACTTCCCTGCTGGTCCCGTGGCTAAGAATCTGTCTTGCAATGCAGGGGACGCAGGTTCAATCCCTGATCAGAGAACGAAGATCCCGCATGCCACAGAGCAACTAGGCTGTGCCCCACAACTACTGACCCCCACCCACAACTAGAGAGTCCGCACTGCAACGAAACATCTCAAGGGTCGCAGCTAAGATCCAATGCGGCCAAATAAATTAAATAGTCTGAGTGACCTTGAGCAATTTCGTGACCTCTCAGCCTGTTTCCTCACCTGTGATGTCAAGAAAATCAAGGTGCCTGTCTCACACGTTGTTGGAAAGATTGTGTGATCCAATACTCCCAAGGTGGGTGGCACAGGGTGGGTAGAGGACGGTGGGTATGACCCTGGTACAGAGCCCCTGGTGACCCCCTCCCTCAGGGCTGCATCAGAGGACCCCGGGGACCAAGATGCACCCAGACGGAGCCAGGACTAGGCCGGGCAAGTGGTGCCTAGAGGCAGGGTGCTGCAGAGGCTGGCGGGCCGGGGGCTGGTGGGCAGCAAGGATGGAGCCTGATCCTTGGGGGTCCCGCAGGGACACTCACCTGTATGCGGATCTCCTGTTCCACGTCTTTCCTCTGTTCCATCTTGAGGGTCTCAGAGTCAAAACTCTGGCTGGGAAAGAGGCTGTCAAATCGGTTCTTCCACAGATCTGCCGGCGCAGGGGCGTGTGTCCAGGATCCAGATGTACACACACACTCACACTCACGTGCACACAGACGCTCACAGGTGCACGCACACAGGCTGGCCCAGCTCTCCTCTCACCTAGCTGCCTGGCACTTCCACCCAGACCGCAGAGCAAGGCCTGATCCCAAGGCCTGTGGCCACAGGATTCAGACCCAAAGCCCAGGGAGCACACCTCACACCCCTCTCCTCCTCAGCTTTTCCCCCTCGGCCATCACCCCCACATCCCCACACCCCCCACACGTGGCACGGGCCCACTCTTCCGGGGACCAAGGTCACCCCAAGAGCCCACAGGCCTGACCACCTCCCTGCACTCACTCGTGTACTCTTTGTGGCCGGCGTTAATCACAGGGATGGATTTGGAAGGCAGTGCCCTAAGCATCGCGTCTGCTTCCTAGAACAGAGACATCCTCCGCTCGAAGCCCTCGCCTCCGCGCATCACCTCCGGGCATCTGGGCCTTATCCTCCCAGACCCGCCTCCCGCTGGGAATTCTCTGCGACTCCGTGTCCCTGCCCCCTTGGTCTGGGCTCCACGCGGTGCCTTACTCCCTTCTTGGTCTTTTCTCCCTTCTTCTTTTTCTCTTTTCCCTCCTTTTCTTTCTCCTTATTTTTCTCTTGCTCCTTTTTTTTGTTCTCCTGGACTTGCACCTCCAGTTCCATCCTCACCTGTGACAGACACAGGAAGATGCTTCAGGGAAGACCGAGGGGGTTGATACAAGCCAGAGAACCCCGGGGCCTGAGCTAGGGGTGGACCCAGGATTCCCAAGGCCTCGCGTCACTGGTGGGATCCAGGCACTGAGGGTCCAGGAAGAAAGGGCCTCAACTGAGCGGGTGGGTGCTTGCTCAGAGCTGCTGCTCTCCGCAGGAGTCTCCATGGAGGTAGGGAGCTGGAGTCACAGTGCTCTCATCAGACACGTTGCCTCTCTCTAACCAAAGGGGCCTTCTCCAGCTCCTTCTGGGGACCCCCTCCTCCACCACATCTGTGTCCTCTCCCCCAGCCCCCGCCACCCTCAGCTGACATGCAGGTTACTCTCTCTAACCTCAGATTCCACCTAACACAGAAAGGCCTCTATTCCCACCTCCGGGGTACCTGTTCTGGAGTCTTGTCTGCAAAGATCAGGGAGGATCCACCTAAAGACTCATCTGGATAATCAGGGAATCGGCCAGTGAGGGCACTAAATGGACATAAGATGGTCAGAGAGATGGATGGATGGAAGGATGGGTGGACGGAAAGGTGGATGGACAGATAGGTAGATGGGTGGATGGATAGGTGGATGGATGGACAGATGGGTGGAGGAACAGAAGGATAAATGGATGATGGATGGGTGGACAGATGGGGGATGGATGCATGGATGGATGGACAGATGGGTGGATGGACGGATGGGTGGATGGATGCATGGATGGACACATGGGCAGAGGAACAGAAGGATAAATGGATGGTGGATGGGTGGACAGATGGGGGATGGATGCATGGATGGATGGACAGATGGGTAGAGGAACAGAAGGATAAATGGATGATGGATGGGTGGACAGATGGTGGGATGGATGCATGGATGGATGGACAGATGGGTGGATAGACGGATGGGTGGATGGATATGTGGATGGATGGGTGGATGGATGGATGCAGGGATGGACACATGGGCAGAGGAACAGAAGGATAAATGGATGATGGATGGGTGGACAGATGGGGGATGGATGCATGGATGGATGGACAGATGGGTGGATGGACGGATGGGTGGATGGATGCATGGATGGACACATGGGCAGAGGAACAGAAGGATAAATGGATGGTGGATGGGTGGACAGATGGGGGATGGATGCATGGATGGATGGACAGATGGGTAGAGGAACAGAAGGATAAATGGATGATGGATGGGTGGACAGATGGTGGGATGGATGCATGGATGGATGGACAGATGGGTGGATAGACGGATGGGTGGATGGATATGTGGATGGATGGGTGGATGGATGGATGTTGGATGAGTGGATAGATGGGTGGATGGGTGGATGGACAGATGGATGGGTGGGTGGGTGGACGGATGGGTGGATGGATGGACGGATGGGTGGATGGATGGTTGGATTGGTGGATGAATGGGTGGAGGGATGGATGGATGGGTGAATGGACAGAAGGGTGGATGGATGGGTTGATGGGCAGATGGGTGGATGGATGGGTGGATGGGTAGACGGGGGGATGGATGNCCCCTGCCCCCCCACCCCCCCCACCAAGACGCGACCCAGCCCTGGTCTCCTGGGGTCCGGCTGCCCAGGCCATCAGCGAGCTCCGACCTCTGCTCCCACATGGGGCTGTCCAGTGCCTCACTCCTTCTGAAGCCCCCAGCCTCCTCGGAGCGGCCATCCCAGCCCTGGTCTCCGATCCTTCTGCCCCCAACCCCAGCACCCCCTCCCAGTCCCTCCTCCGATCTCCCCTTATAGGCCAGGCTTTTGCGGCTCTGCCCAGGGCCGAGCGCCCTCCCAGGGATCACGGAACCTCACTCCGTGGTGGCTTCCTCTCCTAAGTCAGCAGAGACCAGCTGTGGGGGCCGACCACCGCAGAGTAGCGGGCTCGGGTCTGTTTTCCCCGCCTGCACCCTCACCCCTTCCTGCCCATGCTCCTCGCCCCCACCCTCCGCGCACATTCATGCCCCTGTCACCCAGTTCACACTTAGTCATTCTGCCTGTAGGGCAAAGGAGAGGAGGGAGTCGGGGATCCCAGAGTGAGTGGGGAGCCTGTGCCCCCCTCCAAAGGCTCTGGGGTGAAGGGGGTGTGTCCTCATCCCAACTGGGCCCCCCACGTGCTTCTCACAGAGGCTGCAGGAAACCCACTGGCCCTGGGAACTGGCCTCATGCCGCTGCGGGGCCCACCCCCTGCAGCCTCTCCTGCCAGCTTCATCATGGGCCAGGGGACAGGATGCCCTGATCCACCGTCCCTCTCCCCACCCCGTGTGTGACTTCCTTCCAAAGGGCTCTGGGAGGGAGGGGGGCAGAGGGAAGGGACGTGGCTTGGCGGTGGCTTTGTGCTGACCCTCCACCAGGGTCCCCAGACCCCCCTTCCCCAGTCCTGAGTGGAGGGAGGTGTGCACAGGGCTGAGGGCGGGACGCTCACCATGCCGATGAACTCCATCTCGGTTCGCCGGTCCTGCTGAGTGCGTTTCCTCTGCAGGTAACCCTTCCACACCTGGGGGGACACATGGGCCTGGACACTCCCCACATTGCCTTTCTGCTGGGATGCAGGGTTGGGGACAGAGCACTGGGGAGGGCACCTCTAGGATACAGATCACTGGCCACTGACCCCTGAGCAGAGATAGCCCAGACAGGGTGGGGCTGGTCTGCACCCAGATGCCCGGCACTCTCAGAACCCCCCAGGAATTCCCTCCATCTCATCTTCACCTTCTAACCTGCCTTTAAAAATATTTATTTTCTAAAAAAAATAAAATAGAAATATTTATTTTCTTAGTTGCGGCAGGTGAATTCTTAGTTGCAGCATGTGGGATCTACTTCCCCGACTGGGGATCGAACCTGGGCCTCTTGCATTGGGAATGCAGAGTCTTAGCCAACAGACCACTAGGGAAGTCCCTAATCTGCTGTATCTTTTGAGGCACAAATCAGAGTTCAGATTCTACCTCCTCCGAGAAGCCCTCCTCACTCTCACTTCTCAGCATACTTACAGCATCTGGAGTAAAAGCTTGCTTCCACCCAGGCCCATAGACCTGGGTGCTGTTGAGACCATGCAGCTCCCCTAATTAACTCTTACATGTCACAGGGAAACTGAAGCCAGAGATGGGACATGGCCTCTCCCAGGTCCCAGGGCTGTTCAGCACAGAGCCGAGATCAAGGCCCGGTTTCCTGACTCCTCACCCAGGGCTCCTCTCCTGGCTACTCTTGGGCCTGTGGACAACCCAGTGCCCTGGGGAGGAGAAAAGAGGGAGGCAGGGCCAGTGCCTCGCCTGGTAGTTTGACTGAGACAGAGCCTCAGTGGGCAGGTTTTGTGTGCAGGCTCCTGTCCTGGCTTTGTCTTCCTGCTCCCATGACGAGCACAGGGAAGACCCCTGATAACTAAGGGCCTCACACAGTCTCCCCTCTGATGACGGCAGTGGGGAACCTGGGACCTGGGATGCAGTGTTTCCATACCCTCGATGTCTGGAGACAGGGACAAAAGGACTCGCTTTGACTTTCTGGTTGGGGGAGGATGCTCCAGGTTTGGGGCTGACCCTCCTTCTCCAAAGGCTTGTTTCAGCGAGCCCCGAGGGCGAGGACCCCCTGTTCACTCCAGAGGCAGCCAGACCTGGGCACCGGATGCAGAGCACCCCAGCCCGAGTCCCCTGATTTGCAATCTGAAAATCTCTCTCGGTTGAAGGGGACATCTGTTCTCAGGGCCGCTGTCTGCTAGTTGGCTGGTTTGCTCTGGATTTGGGGGAAGAAGTTCTAAGTCTCCTGTATTGGGTTGGGAAACAGAAGTTTTTGAGGCTCTAGGACTTCATAGAAGATGGGAGAGGAGCCTGACTTAAGACAGAAAGCTCCAGCAGCCCCAGGTCAGCAGTCCTGGGCCTTCCTGCCCTAGAGGCGTTCTCTAGGGCGCCTCCCATCTTCTCAAGCAGGTAAGCACTGCCCCCCTGTGAGCCGGCTTAGCAGCACCTGGGGGGAAATCTGCAGGGCTGCCAGGGGACAGAGGGGAGGCACGCCCCCCAGGACACTGGGGCGGCACCTAGAGACGGAGCTGGGTGTTCTGTAGTGAGGTGGGAGGGGGTGTTATGAAAGGGTGACCGCGGGCGGCCCAGACCCGGAGGACACCTGGAGTCATCAGTTCTCAGACTCCGTATTCTTCATCGTGCTTCCTTTTGCCTCAGCTGCTCGGAGGCTCAGGCTACAATTCATGATTCATTTCTCTGCCTTTCTTTTTTATTTTTTCAGTTATGACAGAATGGTAACATTCACAAGAGACTTGGGAAATACAGAAGAGAGTTACATATGGTTCCACTACATATTACAACTATTTTTTTTTAAGTAGATAAACTAAGATTTTTAGCTGGAGCTTCCCTGGTGGTTCAGATGGTCAAGTGTCTACCTGCAGTGCAGGAGATCTGGGTTTGATCCCTGGGTCAGGAACATCCCCTGGAGAAGAAAATGGCACCCACTCCAGTATCCTTGCCTGGAAGATTCCATGGACAGAGAAACCTGGTGGGCTATAGTCCGTGGTGTCACAAAGAGTCGGACACGACTGAGCGACTTCACTTCACTCACTTTCAATATCAAACTCTCAAAAATTCATAAAATGAATAGACAGAAAAGCAGAAGGATATAGTAGGCCGGAAAAGTTTTTGTGACTCATTTTTCACCGTCTTACAATTTTGGGGATGATTGTATACTCTGTTCTGCTGCTGTATTATGGATCTTTTTCCCCTAATTTTAAATTTTTATTTATTATTGTTATTTTTTAAATTTTTGGCTGCACCATGTGGCTTGTGGAATTTTAGTTCCCTGAACAGGGATCGAACTCAGGTCCTTGGCAGTGACAGTAAGGAGTCCTCACCGCTGGACTGCCAGAGAATTTCCTTTCTCTTCTGATTTTAATTATCCTTCTGTTTGGGGGCTTTTATGGCATCCCACTTCAAGTCATTTGGGGGAGATGGAGAACAAATAATGAATAAGATACATGTTTATTACCAATGAAGGTCCCTAGTTTAACATCTAGTTGTGGGGCAGCAGAATCCAAGCACCTGTGTTTCTGTCATCAATTGCTGAGCCAGGAAGGCTTCCTAGAGGAGGTGATTTTCCTCCGGGGTGCCTGGTGTGGGGGGTGGGGGTTTTACCTTCTGTATGGTGATGGCTGCTTCATCCTGACTGAACTTGAACCGACCTTCCTCCCGAATTTTCCGGTCTCGCTCCTCCTCTTTCCGAATCTCGCGCATGAAGGTGGCCCGGAGCCTGCCTTGCCTGGCCCGCTCTGCCTTTTGCAGTACGATTATGGCCTCAGTCCGGCTTAATATTGGAAAGCTCTGGCCACAGCAGGAGCAAAGGAGGAGGAAATGAGGGAGGGTTTGCCATCTCCAGCTGGGAGGCCAGTCCCCCCAAAACATGCTGGGGGTATGTTCCAGGGCAATGAGGTGCCCAAGTCGTGTGTCTCTGCCTCGGTGTGGGAAGGTTACGTGGAGCATAGCACAGCCGTGAGGGGGCCAGAATTACCCAGAGCACTCTCCGAGGTGGTGAAGGACAGGACAGGGCCTCCACGTCCTGAAGCGGGGAGCTCTGTTCCAGGGTGGGGGGTTTCTCCCTGACTCACCCCCTCTGAGGTCTCTGGCTTCAATCTGGACAGCAGCTCTACCAGCATGTGTTCGCGGTCCTTCAGGATGCTGGACTGCTCCAGCTCGAAATACTTGGGAATCGGAACCTCCAGGTCTGCCTTTGGGGCAACACAGGAGAAGAAGAGTTGGGAATAAAACTCCAGACCCTCTTGGCCAACCCATTACCATTACTTTCAGCCGCATACATACCCTTGGGGCTGGCTTCCTCCATCCTAGAGCTCCAGGGTGGGAAATGTACAGATTTTGGGCAGATTGCCCCAAGACTCATTCCCCTCTTCCTTTGACCCTGTCATGTGGCCAGAGTTGGACTCTGAAGGATCAGGGTAGGTAATGGGCAGTGGTCCCAGTCCTAGCTGTACAACTGAATCAACTGGGACCCAAGCTCTTAAAATTCAGGCTCCTAGGCCCTCCCTGGGCAACCACATCAGAATGGCAGGGCCTGGAGAAGGTCTGTTTTTTCAAGTCCACAGCTGGGTCTCAGGCAGCTAGTAGGGGAAACTTTGAGTCCGCCTTAGACGTGGAACAGGGCGCCCTGACCTTGGGGTGGGCTGGAGGCCAGTGCAGAAGCGCTGTGCTTTGGGACTTGCTGGTGCACAGACATCCCTGAGGGTCTTGTGAAAACGCAGAGGCAGAGTAGTGGTTTGGGGCTGCAGCCAGAGATTCTGCATCTCTAACAAGCTCCTAGGTGATGCTGACGCTGCTGGTCCGAGGACCACACTTTGAGGAACAAGCCTCCAGGGGACCCTTACCAGCAATCCCCTGCAATGGGGTTCATGGCTCCTCCGAGCCAGACAGAGCTTCCAGCCTGACTCCCCAGCCACCCTTAACTACTTTTTTTTTTTTAAGATTTATTTATTTATTTTTGGCTGTGCTAGGTCTTTGTTGCTGCTAGGTCTTTCTCTAGTTGTTGCAAATGGGGGTTACTCTCTAGTTGGGGGTGCACAGGCTTCTCATTGTGGTAGCTTCTCTTGGGGAGCTCAGGCTCTAGGCTCAGTCCTGGTGGCTCATGGGCTCAGCTGCCACATGGCATGTGGAATCTTCCCAAAGCAGGGATTGAACCCGTGTCCCCTGCATTGGCAGGCAGATTCTCAACTGCTAGACGACCAGGGAAGTTGCACCTCCTAACTACGGTGCATGAACTTCCCAAACCCCATTGTCTGATCTGCCCTGCCCGCCTTCCCTTGCAGATGATGCCCCAAGGCCTGGGGTGTCGGAGGAAAATCAAGGCCACCCCGACTCCCAGCTGGCTGGGGCTTGGTTTGCTTCCACAAGGAGGGGGAGATCAAGGCTAGCCCTCCCCCCAGCTCCCCGGCTCCCCACCCCACCCCGAGCTGGGGTGGGCGCAGTGCTTGAGCAGCCCGCGTACCGGGGTGAGCTTTAAGTCCTGCAGCACTTGGTCCAGGCAGTGGGTCTCACACAGGTCGGCGCGAACCAGATCGTCTTTGAGCTCCAGCACGCGGCAGGCCACACTGTCCAGCAGCTGCCGCAGCAGCCGCCGCTTTTGCGGCTGCACCATCTGGTCGTAGAGGGTGTCGAAGCGGCGCAGCAGCCCCAGGTAGTACAGATAGAGCGAGGAGAGCCGGTACTGGAAGGACTGCCGCTTGCTGTCGGGAACAGCTTCCCCCAGCAGCGACTCCTGGTCCAGCAGCTCTTCCAAGATCAGGTGGGAGGAGTCCCAGAGGCGCTGGTAAGCTCTAGGGGGGGGTGCCAGCAGGGGGTGCCCTGAGTCTCAGAGGACGGGGAAGGGGGCGAGGAGGGGGCGTCCTGAGCCTCAAGGTGGGAGGGGGCCCAGGGGGCGCCCTGAGTCTCAGAGGACGGGGAAGGGGGCAGGAGGGGGCGCCCTGAGCCTCAAGGTGGGGAGGGGGGCCGGCAGGGGGCGCCCTGAGCCCCAGAAGAGCAAGGGCGGAGGGGGAGGGGTGGGGTTCCCCTGAGGCGCCTGAAGACTTGAATTCAAGGTCCCAGAAGGTGTGATGCTAAGGAGACTCATGGCCCGGAGAGGGAGTCCCGGGAAGGGAGAGGCCTTCAGGGAACTGAGATGGTGGCCCCAGTGAGACCCCCTGAGGCTTAGAAGCTGAGGGACCGGGGCTCCTGGGGCTGGAGCCTACCCAGGGAGGAGCAAGGAGGGTGATGAATGGGCACCGCCCTGAGGGCCTCCTGCCAAGGGAGGGGCCTTTCAGAGTCTGTGGCTGGTCCCTCCAGTCTGGAGGGACCCCCAGCAATGTTGCAAAGGTCTAGGATGGTGGGCTGGAAGTGGGGGTGAGGGTGAACTGTAGAGAAGGGTACTGCACGGAGGGACTGTTCTGGAATCAGTAGCCTGAGGGAAACCTGAGCACAGGCAGGAGTGGCCAGGGTGGCTGCGTGAGTGTCTGGGGTCCAGGTGGGGCCGGCCCTCAGGAGCCCCCCTCCCAGCGGCGTTGTCCCCAGCTGCCTGGCTCCAGGACCAGGGAGGCGCCATGCCCTTGGCTCTCCCCTCCTTCACTCACGCCTCGGACATGGTGCCCAACTCCACTCTGAACTTTGTGAGCCAGTCCTGGAATCCGCAGAATGCCTGTGGTTCCACCCGGACTCCGCTCCACAAAGCCAGAATAGCCCAGTTTTAAGGGTTCTGTCCCATTGTCTCAAAGTTCTAAGGCTGTGAGGGGCGGGGGTGCAGGTACAGGATTGGGGACGCTTATCTCAGAGGACACCCTGGAGGTGGCATGCCAGAGGGCGTGGGCTCCCTTGTAGCAAGCCTTGGCCAGGGCGGACAGCCGGGTCAGCTGCAGCTACTTCCCTTGTGAGGATTAAATGAAAGAATGGGCTTTGTTTGACGTCACCCTGTAGACCGTGAGGCTCTGGGTGGTTGTTAGTCCTAAAGGCGTTCATCCAGCTATCCTCTTGCCTGGAGACCAGGCCCAGCCTCCCCACGCTTGTGTATGACTGCACCGCAGGGGCAAAGGCGCAGGAGTTGGGCTTGCTAGGCCTGGGTTCACGCGGCTTGTGGAATCTTAGTTTCCCGACCTGGAACTGAACCCAGGCACACAGCAGTGAAAGCACAGAGCCCTACCCACTGGATAACCAGGGACGTCCCCATGCTTCCCCCTTTACGTGAGCACAAACACGCCTGTTCCCCTGGGGTCTGACATCAGCTCACATGGTTCGAGGGAGCTGTACCTGTGTAAAGAATGACGCTGCAAGGAGTAGTGGGTGGGACTCAGTGGTGGTTTGGGGCTCCTTTTGAGCTCTCTGGGGGTTTCCCCATCACTGCTTCAGGCTCGCGAGGCCATTCTTTGGAAAATTCAAAGCATATCAGCCTGGCTCGGGTCTGCTGGGGTAAGCTTTTGGCTCGGTGTCAAGTGGGGAATGTCTGAATAAATATATAAGGCAGGGGGCAAAGGACGGCAGGGGGAGAGAGACAGAGACAAAGAGGATCGAGAGAGGAATCCACGTGTCCCCAGAGCTTCCAAGGACCTTGCCGAAATGCAGATTCCCATTCAGCACTCTGAGCGGGCCCAGGATTCTGCATTCCTAACAAGCTCCCAGGGTGTTATAGAAGCTGCTGGCCTGTGAATCACGCCTAGAGTAGCAAGGAGTGTAAACACAGTGGGAGTAGGGAGGAGCTGAGCTTCCGGGCTAGGTCTCCCGAGCCAATCTTTTTCCTGCCGTGGGACAAAAGCGTGGATAATTAGTTCTCACCATGTGGCATCTCCACTGTAGGCTTGACAGAGGAGGAAACATGCATGACATATGTCAGGTCACAGTTCAGCCATCGTTACAACGAGCCTTTTCAATATATGAACTTGAAGTTACAAAGGGAACGTAAAGGATTTTGGACTGTTCACGCAATCCCAGCCAGCCCTTCACTCTACCGCAGCAGAGGCTGAATTAGAAAAGGAGAATGTGGTCATGTATTATGTAGTGAATCTAGGTGCAGGATGTACAAGTGGTTATGGTACTATTTTTGCATTTTTTTTCCAAAATAAAATGGGAGAAGAAAAGTTAGGAGTCTCAAAAACATTCTCACCAATTTGTTCTGAAATTAAGGGGAAGAAGACCATAGGGGAAAATAAAAACATCTTTGAGATCCCAGTAGGTTACTTTGAAGCTTTGGGCCTTTGTTTTTGTATCTTGTAGATCTGTGTAGCCCCGTGTGCCCAGCACAGGACAAAAATAAGTCTTCTAGAAATGGCCTCACAGAACTCCATCCTAAAGGAGGGATGCACGTGGAATTCCAGGCCCAGAGAGGACGTGATGGAAACAGCCAGCGGCAGACTCAGGATTCTTACCCAGACTAGGTCGTCCCTCATCTCACCTAAGAACAAGAATGCTGTACATTTATAAAGTGTCACATGTCACCCATGGGCCCCACCCAGAACGCAGGTTTTAAGAGGTATGAGGTATGCATAAGTGTTCTTCCATCTCGGGGGCGTGACAAGTAGGGACACCCTGCCCCACACCACACCTCGCCTCCACGCATGCCTTTTTGAAATCAGAACAACACAGGAGAGCAGTGCAGCCTTTATTAGGGTCGGGTCCCGGGTCATTTGGAGCTGGTGTACTTGGTCACGGCCTTGGTGCCCTCGGACACAGCATGCTTGGCCAGCTCTCCAGGCAGCAGCAGACGCACGGCCGTCTGGACCTCCCGGGATGTCAGTGTGGTTCGGCCCGAGTACTGGGCCAGCCGGGCGGCCTCGCCAGCCAGCCGCTCAAACAGATCGTTCACAAACGAGTTCATGATGCTCATGGCCTTGGAGGAGATGCCGATGTCGGGGTGCACCTGGGGAAGCAGCAGGAGCAGTTTGTTAACAGGGGAGCTCTGCCTGATGCCACAAGCCCCACCCCCAAGTTGGGGACCTCAAAGCCACCTCATCACCCTCTTTCCAGAGGCCAGACAGGTTACTACTGTATCCAAGTTAAAAAAAAGAAGTTTCTCCCAACTGCAAGAGATAAGGAATGCTGCCTCTTTTTTTTCTTTCTTTCTTTTTCTATTAATGCATTTGCACAGTGTTTCGTACCATGGATGCATCATAGTTCATATCACCATCCCTCTCTTCATGGACATTTAGGGGGTGTGCTTTACATTTTGCTATTATATTGTGTTATAATAAATACATGTCTTTGAACACTGGACACTTGTACAAGCAAGCTGGTTATTCCTAGAAGTTCCTAGAGGGCTGGTGCACAAAACTTGGTAGATGGTTAACCAGATTTTCCAGAAAGGGCCCACCTAGGACACACTCTCCACAGCAGACTGGGAGTGAGGAGACGGGGATCTGGGGCTGTCCCGTGAGTCCCTATGGGAGCTTAGACAAGGCACTTTCCTCTGAGTTTCCTCTTCTGTCACACCAGCCTTTGAACTAGGTGATCCCTAGTAAACAAATGGGAGGGACCTTATAATAATCCTAACACGTGAGCAGGCAGACACCATTTCTCTGCAAAAAGTAAAAGTAAAGTGAAGTCATTCAGTCGCGTCCGACTCTTTGTGACCCCATGAACTGTGGCCTATCAGGCTCCTCTGTCCATAGGATTTTCCAGGCAAGAGCACTGGAGTACTCTACCCCAGGGGATCTTCCTGACCCGGGGTCTTCCGCGCTGCAGGCAGACACTTTACCATCTGAGCCACCTGGGAAGCCCATTTCTCTGCGAAGTGGGAGGGAAGTGACTGTCAACATACATGTCAGGCCAGTGGTGGAGGTGAACGAACACCCTGGCTTCTGGCCTGGCCGCTCCCTCTCCGCACGGCCTCTGGGGGCCACGGATCTGACAGCGGGAAACCTGAGCCGGACCCTGGTCATCACATCCTCTTCCCCTCGAGGTGACCGGGGCAGTGGCCCCCCCCCGACCCGGGGGACCCGCTCAGCAGCTCTCTTCGGGGAGCCCAGTCCTGCCCCAGTGCTGCCCTCACAATTTTGGAGCCGAAAAGCTAGGCTAAGCTGCAGGGGGCCCACTAACACGGGCTCCCACCCCACTTTCATCGGGACCCCGGAGTCTTCTCTGCTGCTGCCCTTTGGCCCGTCCACGTGGGTGCAGGGCCCACCCCGTGAGAGCGCTCCCGGAGACCCCCAGCCGTCCAGTCACTCAAACTGGATTCAGCTTATGGGATTTCAGACTGGAGACAAGGTCCATGTCTGGGGTCTGGTCTCACAGCGATGAGACTCAGGCAGCTGAGGGGAGACCCAGCGCAGGCAGCTCACTGCCAGGCCCAGCTCTGCTGAGCGGGGCAGAGCGTTCGAGGCCAGGTGCCCGGGGTCCATCAGACAAAGCGGATGGGTGCCCTTAGGTGTCTGCATGAGTCCCAGGAGTAGGTGGTTCTCACAGGTGCGCTGGGAGACTGAGTGTGGGTTAGGGTTGGGGCTCATCCAGAGTCAGGGCTGGCTGGGGCTGGGGGGCTGGGGTAACCTCCACTGCTGTCAGGTCACGTGACCCAGTCACCCCGCTGAGCCCTTAGTACCTTAGGTTCCTTATCTGTAAGGTGGACCAACCCCTCAGCCCCTCAAAGACGGAGCGTCGCCCATCTGGGGAGCTCCCCCAAGACCGCAGTTCATTGGAGCTACTCCTCCCTCCAGCCACAGCTAACTAGTCCCTCTTGTTTGGACCTGCACGTTGGGCACCTGATCAGCCCAGCACTTTCCTGTGGCCTTCCTTCACTTAAACTGTCCCACCTAAGGTCCCACGTGACTGTTTTGTCTGCCCCAGAGCCCTGTGTAGCCTCTGGGCCAGGGTGGGAGCGTGTCTGAACCGCCTCCTGCCCACAGGTGCAGGATGGACACTGAGTGGGCCCCCGGGCCTCTGAGATGAAGAGCAACCCCACAAGAGGGGCGTGGGGGGTACGGAGTGAACGGTGCCCCGGCCTGATCTCCATCCAGGTCCTTCCCAGGCTTTCGCCAGCCCCCGCCCCACGCCCATGGTGGCCCCCCCACGCTCACCTGCTTGAGCACCTTGTAGATGTACATCGAGTAGGTTTCTTTGCGCCGGCTGCGCCTTCTGGACTTCTTGTCCCCAGGACTCCGGCCTCGCCGGCCCCCAGACTGCTGCAGCTGTCCGTGCTCAGCGCTCATCCTCCTGGTCCTCCCGGCGGCCTCCTCCCACGTCTTGGGCGAACTTTTAAGAGGTCAGCTGCCCATCCACCTGGAGGGGCTAGGGGCCAGCACCTGGGCGCAGGGGCGGGGCGGGGCGGGCCCAACCCAATTCAGAACATGCTCTGGGTTAATCCTGAAAGAGCCTAATTGCTCCTTCCTCTCCACTGACCCCAGGATTCTATCTGAATAAGCCTCCACCAGCCCCCTTCCCCACCCTTCTGTCTCCCAAAATACTTATAACACACAAGTAAGTCACCCATGTGCTCGCATGGATGGCTGAGTGCTGGAGAGCGTTGGAGTAACACAAGGCCCCCAGCACCGCCCCCCAAGTACAAGTATTATTCATTCATTCACTTTGTGACCCCAGGGACTGTAGCCCACCAGGCTCCTCTGTCCATGGAATTCTCCAGGCAAGAACACTGCAGTGGGTCGCCCTTCTCCAGGGCATCTTCCTGACCCAGAGATCAAACCCGGGTCTTCTGCATTGCAGGCAGATTCTTTACCATCAGAGTCACCAGGGAAGCCCCTCTCCCCTTCTCTGAGGGTCTGCAGTTTAGCTTGAGAGATAAGACTGGTTCACCAGAAACCATCAGGGAAGGGTGAAAGGGTAAAAAGTGTGAAACAGAGAACAGAGTTCGGAAAAAGCTTAGTGTGTGTGCATATATATATATATATATATTTTTTTTTTTTTTTTTTTTAAAGATAGGCTATAGAAGTACACAATTGATTTAAAAGAAGAAAACTCTGGCTTCAGGAAACAAACGGGGATTTGAAGCTGGTCTGGTAGGACATGTGTGTGCGTGCAGTCGTGTCCGACTCTGCAACCCCATGGACTGTAGCCTGCCAGGCTCCTCTGTCCATAGCATTTTCCAGGCAAGAATACTGGATCTTGCCATTTCCTTCTCCAGGGGATCTTCCCCACCCAGGGACCAAACCCGGGTCTCTAGTGTCTCCTGCATTGGCAGGCTGATTCTTTACCACTGTGCCACCTGGGAAGCCCCTGGTAGGATGGGTACAATTTAACTAGGGAGAGGGGAGATTTTAGTTGGGAGGAAAGGGAGAAAGAAATCAGTGGGTGTGGTTTCAGGGAGGCTTGGACTAACAGCACAAGATGGAGCAGAACCTGAGCCTAGACAGGTGAAGGCAGCAGGAACCACAGCTGGGAGGGCCTGACAGGGAGGGTGTCAGGGAAGGCAGACTGGAGGAAGCCAGAGTGAGAAACACGGGGTGCTCTCCGTGAACATGAGGCCCCTGAGGGAGTGAGCTGTGAAGGGAAGAGGGAGAAAAGGTGCTATTCTGCAGAGAAGGTGGTCTCACTTTGCACCTAGTGTGAGGATTTCAAGTCCTTGAATGCTGTGGTTAAGGAAATTGAGAGCAATGGGATAAGCCCAGGCTGTGGGGAGAAGAGGGTTTTCCCAATAGAGGTGGGGAGGAGCCAAATGAGCATCACCTGCCATAGGCAGGCCCGAGCACCCGCACCTCACCAAGCCCCCACACCCCCAGACCCCATCATTCAGCTGTGGCTGCGTGCCAGAGGTTGGAGGAGCAGGAGGGTGACTCTCTATCCAAAGTAAGGCACTGCTTTTAGGTGCTTGTAGAAATGTGTATTTTGTGGGATTTTTTTGAACATTTCCTAAAATGTTGAGGCTGGCCTTTTTCCTGGACAAGCTGACCAGCCTACTGCATTCCCTTCCTCCAGGCCTGGAGCCCCCCTCCCCCTGCCCTGGAGACCCCAACAGACTTCCGCAGTTCTTCACACAACCAGGCCCTCCCTTGGCCAAAGTAGCGGCTCTTCATCTCTGTTCCCACTATCCTCCTAACCAAGCCTCTGGACACTCAGGGAAGACTGACGAGCCATTTTTCTCTGGGCCCCTGCCTTGAGGTGCAAAGCAGCCAGGCCAGGCCCCTGGGGGTCTGAGGGCGGAGTCGGAGTGGAGCCCCTCACTCCAGCCTTGGAATCTCGGGCTAAGCTGCAGGCACTCACCTGATACCCTGTTCCCTCTGCCCAGGGAAGCTCTGGGAGTCCACGGCCATCTGAGAAGACCCTACTCACCTTTCAAGTTACAGCACCGATCCCAGCTTTCTGGGCAGCTACTCACGAGAAACTTCCCTCCCTTTTAAGGTCTCCTGTGTAACCTACCATCTAAGTTACAACTTGGCACCTGATTTATGCCCTTTTCTGTCTTATTGGCTTTCCCATTAGATCGCGAGCTCTTCGGGGGTTTAGACACCATCTGGGACTTTTTTGTGTTTTACTGTCTTAGACGGACTATAGTGAGCACGGAGAAAGCATGGCTGTGTATGTTTCCCCTCTGGGGGAAACAGGGATGGTCGCTAAGATTTCAGAAGTGAAGCAAGCAGGAAGCCTGGTGGCACAAAGGCTGGATGCTATGCAAAGCCCTGGCTTGGAAGTATTGTTAAAATGGATACAGCGCTAACGAAAATTAAGGCTGTGGATGGGTTAACATAACAAAACTTAATCCCCACCAGGAATACAGCAGCAGCAGCGCTGGGGAGCTCTCAGCAATGTTAATTCCTGGTCTCACCTAGACCTACTGAATCAGAAACTCCGAGGTGAGACCCAGCAGTCGGTGATTCAATGAGTCTTCCAGGTGATTCTGACGCACGTTAATGTCTGTGAACCACTGGCCTAAATAAAGGCATGAGTTCAAATCAGAAGGGAAGAGAGTTCTCCCAGTGCCCGGGGACAGTCCTCAGCTTGCACCCAGCCCTTCGACTCCCGCTCCAGCTCATGCTGAGGGCAGGTGAACACTGGCACCGCAGGGAGAGCAGGAGAGGACCCAGAGACCCAAGGAGGAAGGCAGGGACCATGGCTTCTTCTTTCTTTATTGGACACTTTGTATATGTCACGCAGGTCTAAAAGTTACACTGTTAAATAATTATTTAAAAACCGACCAGGTTTAAGGCCCTGGTCCAGAGCTCCAAACCAGAAGCAGAAAGGAATGGGGGCGGTGGGCTGGGGGGGTATTCCTCCAACATCACCAGAACCCAGAGAACGAGGATCCTAAGCTTTTTCACAGGCCAACCCGGGGCATGGGCCTGCGGGCTGACCCTCAGAGGCCTCTGGCTGCATCACTATCGGGTCAAAACCAGCGAGGAGCTGGTGGGAACAGCCACCTGAGTCCAGACATGGACACAGTAGCTTGAAGGACAGGAGACGGACAGGTCCTGTCCAGCTGTAGATAGGATCGCAGAGTGCAGCTAAGGCAGGTGGGGCAAGGGGCTGGGGAGCAGTATTGCAGCAATGCAGGATGCGGCCCCGGGGGCCTGGCTTGGCCGGCCGGCCGGCAAGGCCTCACACATTGTGGGTCCGCCTGGTGGGCTGGGGCTCCTCGCCCACCAGCTTGGACTTGAGGTGCTCCTTGTAGGCGAGGATGTCTCCAGGCCACTTGGTGATTGTCTGCTTCTCACAGACCCAGATTTCCTGTGCAACCTGGAGAGCAAACCCCAGACTTAGTCACCCTGGCCAGCGCCCTTCCCACCCCGGCCCAGGAGACTCTTCCCAGCGGATTCTGAGAAGGAAAACCCATGAGCTCCCGGCGGCCCACGTCCAGCTCTGTTTCACCCCCTCAGCAATCCTGGCTGGTCTAATCTAGATACCATACCCAGCAGCGGGAGGGGCCTTCCAAGCCGGAACCCGCTGGTCTCCCCAACTGCCAGTTCCCTAGCAGGACCCAGACCTGTTCAAGGCCTCCCTCTCAGCTTCCAGCGCTCCATCCCACCTTTCTCAAAGCTTCAGAGAGATGACCAGCAGCTTTCTTCCCAGTGGGAGGGAGGAGCCCTCTGTCTAATCCAGAATCTCCTGAGTACAATACTATTTCCAGGCTGAAGAATCCTGGAAACAATAGCAAAAGCACCCTATTCTCTACTCAATTCCCTCCGTGATTTTGGCCAATGATGCCAAGTAGGCTAACAGCCCCAAACAGCTAATGAAGAATTAAAAGTATTTCTGTGAAGGCTTTCTAAGTTTCTCAGAGAAACCGTAAGATCTGGTCCTCTCCACCTGACATCCTGCGCCCTTTTCCCAAACACAGTAACATGGATTCAGTGTCCCCCATGTGCCATGGCACTGTTCTACCCCCAACTGCCTCCCAGCTGGGAGTCTCACCTGCTGGATGAGTCTGAAGTCATGGCTGACCAGCATCATACCACCCTCAAAGTCATTGATGGCATCCGCCAGGGCGTCAATGGTCTCAATGTCCAGGTGGTTGGTGGGCTCATCCAGGAAGAGCATGTGGGGGTTCTGCCAGGCCAGCCAGGCCAGACACACTCGGCACTTCTGCCCATCAGACAAGTTCCGGATCGGGCTCACCTGCGTGGAACCATGACATTTATGAGGTCCAGGGTTGCCCTCACCACGCATCACGACTCACCTCGCCCCATGGCTTCTCTGTTATTACACAGAGAGCCGGGCTCAGGAAGACCCAAGATCACACATTAAGACAGTGGCACCCTGCCAGTCCCTCAAGGGCTGAAAGGAACACACCGGGAAGCCTGAAGCCCTGCCTCAGCACAGAGTCTTGACGCAGTGGAGCCGTCAGGGGGCCTGAGTCTGGATCAGAGGACCCTGTGTTCTAGGTCTCAATTTCCCTTGCCTTTTAACAACATGGCCCATCCTGCTAGTCTGGGGGCAAGGGCATGTCAGACCAGCATGCAACCCCCCACCCTCTCTTGAGACTTCAGAGCTCCAATCTGTAACCACCTAGAGCAGAGGAAAAAGCAGACGCCCAGCTTGCATCTCCCAGTTGCCTGGGGTCCTCTCACCCCTACTCCACTGACCTGCTGTTTCCCAGTGAGACCGTATCGCCCAATGATCTTCCGCATTTCCTCCTTCTCCTTGATCTCGGGGTAGCATTTCATCATGTACTCCAAAGGCGAGAGATCTAAATCTAGCTGCTCTTGTAAATGCTACAGGGAAAAAAAAAGAACTCACCCAGGTGTGCCTAGTGTTCTTCCAAGGCAGCCTGTTGGGGTCCCTGCCGCGTACTGTCTCACTACCTCTCCCCAGGCAGCTGTTCAGGACTGCAGAACCACCCTGGAGCTGACCTGGGCACACGCAGCCCTGCTCTCCCACCCTGGGCAATCTCCCGCTCCCCACCAGGACTATACCTGATGGTAACGCCCTATCTTGACATGAGAGTGTTTTCGGATCATTCCGTCTGTGGGCAGTAGCTATGGGAAGAAAAAAAAAAAGAGTAGACGGTGGAAAGATAACCACACAGACAAGGAAACCTGGTCAGAAGCAGAGACAGGCAGAGAGGGGAAGCAAACATTCGTTCACACCGAGTGGGACTCCTACAACTTCAACAAACTCCTACAACTTCCTACAAACAGAACCCGTACCACTTCACAAACTGCTCTTCTGGCCACTCGAAGAAAATACACCGAGACAGATGTTCTCAGGGGAGGCAGAGACACACCACACAATCCACTGGGTAGTTATTAAAGGACTACTATCCCACGCGCTGAACTATGACAGAGGACTCGCAGGGGTCCAAAATACGTTTTCTACAATAAAAATGTTTCTAAATGCACAGCTGCTCCTGTGTTCTAAATGCTCTGAATGAAGACACAAGAAGACGGTGAAAGCAGGCCTGGGCTGTCTCTCACAGGCTCTCTCGCACACACACTCCTCCTCCCAGTTTTCTCTAAGAAAATGCTGAAACATCACACTGCCCAGTGATGACCCGCCCCCCAGAGGACGGCTCACTCATCTTGAGAGCACAGGCCCTCCAAGAGCAGTGGCCCCTGCATGCCGCCCCCCACCCTGACACAGTGGCATCTAATGCTGGAGTCCCACGCCCCCACTTGACACCATACCTCTCCAGTTAGCAGCTTCAGAAGAGTTGACTTCCCTGCTCCATTGGGCCCCACCAGAGCCACTCGTGTGTCGAGATCAATACCGAACTCTAGATTGTTGTAGATGCAAGGCTGAGGTGGGGGGGGAGAGAAACAGATCCAGGGGTAGGGTGATCAACCCGACTGGCAGAGCAATCTCGCTGAGCCCCCAGTCACCACCAGAGGCGGCTGGAGTGAGGAGGGAGGAAGCTCCCATGGCAGCCCCCTACCCACTGCCTCCACCCACCAATGTGGCTGAACAATGTCCCCTCCAAGTACTTGAAGGGTACCCCCATTCCTCTAAGGCTCTCAGTGAGGCAACCCAGGTTGCCAGGCCTGAAAACTCCCCAGCACCACAAGGGTTAGTAGATGCCGTCAGCAAATATGACACTCTTCTCGCCAGCTGACACCTTGTAAAATGTACCCCAGCCTCCCAACCACACCCAAGTACTCACCCCATCTTTTGTATACTTGAAGCTGACATTCTGCACCATAATAACAGGTGGAGGGATCTTGCCACATGGTGGGAAATAAAATGACAGCGTCTAGGAAGAGGATAAAGAGGCATTTATCAAGTCAGGTCCTTCCCTATCCACCTCATGTTAGGCCACCTAATTCCACCCAACCAGACCCTACCTTGTCGCTCACAACCCTCTCTGTCAGTCCGGAAGCCATCATTTTCTGTAGCGTCTTCTCCTTGCTCTGGGCCTGCCGGGCCAGCTTGGCGCTGCCATGACCGAACCTAGCAATGTAGTTCTGAAAGAGTGTAGAGAGGGGGCTTGCGTGTGGGCAGGTACCCCACGATTCATCTGAAAAGAGGGTAAAGGACTTCTCTAGCCCCTGACCTCCCCAGACACCTTCCGTCAGCTCTCCCGGAGGACAAGATCCTGGCCCTACCTTCATGTGTGCAATCTGATCCTGCTCCCAGTGAAACCTCTTCATCTGGTTCTCTTCCAGCTCCAGCCGCGTCTTCACATACTGATCGTAATTACCCTGCAGGAAGAGGCACCGGGCAAGATGGGCAGCGTTAGCCTCGGCTCTGGGTCCTCATTCAGGGGAGGTTCGAGATGGTACCTGACTTGGCCCTGGCTATGAGGTGGTGCAGCGGGGGAAGAGGAAGTGTATTAAAAAAGCGTATTCTGGGACTTCCCTGTTTGGGAGAGAAACAGATCCAGGGGTAGGGTGATCAACCCGACTGGCAGAGCAATCTCGCTGAGCCCCCAGTCACCACCAGAGGCGGCTGGAGTGAGGAGGGAGGAAGCTCCCATGGCAGCCCCCTACCCACTGCCTCCACCCACCAATGTGGCTGAACAATGTCCCCTCCAAGTACTTGAAGGGTACCCCCATTCCTCTAAGGCTCTCAGTGAGGCAACCC